TTTTTTTTTTTTTTTTACTGTTGAACTACAATCAGGGAGCGTCAATTATCCGAACTATTTTTTTTTTTTTTGGACCGTGGATTTTTGTATACAAATTTTTTCGGATAACCGAATTTTGCCCCCTGAAAAGCTGCCAAAAAAAAAAAAAAAAAAAGAAAAAAGTTAATAAAAGGAATCAAACTAAGTTTATGTTACAGTTACACATGTTTGGAACTTTTTTCCAAACTTTTCTGCTTGTGACCCACTTAAACATTGTATTTTTAACAAGAGTCAAAAAGGGAAGAAAAAAAATTGTTGAAAGGTTTAAATTTTTATGTTTTCAAAGCTTGTCACTTTTATAAATCGTTTATGAACGGCATAATTTTTGTTAAAAAGACATGAGATGTTTACAAAAGACATATATTTATTAAATTTTTATTTTTATCTGAGGGACATCGTATAAAAATTAAGTTAAAATTTTCAAAAGCTCAAAGAGTTTAATTATAATTTCGAACCATTAAAACTATTATAAAAAATGGATTCGGCATGATAATCAAAATGCTAGATTACAAAAGCTTTTGTTGTTGAAAAAAAAAAAGCTTTCTACTGGATTATTTTCTAAAAATAATAATTTAAAAGGAATCATGCGAACGGTAAAAAGGGGGGGGGGGGGAGGTGTTCGATTATTCATTATTCTGATATTGTAAAGAGAAAAACAGGTGTGAATTTCAGAACTACAATATTTTTTTTTTTTAAACCATGTTATTCAGGAAATTGTTAAAAATCAGCACATTTAAAGAAAACACAAACTCTTTTTTTGTATTGAATACTTAATGACACGTGCACTATTTGGAGGCGCCCGTTAAATTCTTATTTTTTTAAAGAGTTTTCATACCATTGAGCTCAACATTGATGGAATCGAGTTATATTTAAAATTATTGAAATAATAATAAAAAAAAAATTTTAAAGCATGATGCTATCATACAATTTATAATTAATACCTATCCCTACTCCATAGTGATGCTTTAATGTTGAAATATAATTTGAAAACGGATTGCACATGTCTGATACGTAGCAAAAACTACATTAAAATTATAGATCTTTTTAATGTTGTAAAGGCATAAATACAAAGCTATTAGTCTAAAGTTTTAAAACTTTTTGGAAGTTGAAAAAAAAAAAAAAAAAAAAAAGAATAATGCGAACGAGTAATAAGACTTCTGCTTATAATCAGGAGCGGCCAATTTTCTGATCAGTACGATGTTTATAATCGAACAGTGCAATCCTCTAACAAGATTAACGTTAAATATAAGGATCATCAATTATATCGAGTGTAGCGGTATTTTATGGGTTCCAATAATTGTCATCGGTTTGAAGGCGCCAGGTACTGTTCTTTTTCAAAAAATGATATAACAATGACAATTTAGCAGTTTTTTTTAAAAAATCAAATATATTTTCGTTTTATTGTTGTACAGATTTTCTCAAAAAGTGTGTGTGTGTGGGAGGGGGACACTTGACTTAGTCCTGAGAGTCAATGCCCCCCCTCTCCTCCGACCCCCCCTCCCCCCCGGAGAGATGCCTGAAGGAAACACTTCATGCTACTCGCATGTCCCTGTCTGCGTGTACAGTACTTATCTAGATTTGTACCTGTAGCGTGCGACATGGATCGGGATCGTATTCTGGCGTTTGTACACAAATATTCAATGGATTGCGCATTGCGTATGATAATAATAACGCTATTAATAATAACCAAAGACTGGGGGGTGTCCGGATAACCGACTTTCGGATGATCGTCGTTCGGAAAACCGACGCTCTACCGGAAATATATGAATGAATTATCTAAAATCAATAAGGAAACGTACTAATTGGAAAGAACTGAATATTTACAAATAAAAAGACAGATATACGAATAATAAAATGTTTATAGCTGTGGTGGAAAAGAAACTGCTAGAAGATGATGCACAAATTAGCAAAATAATAATATTAAGTAAAACACAATCGAGGAAAGATTTGGTCAGGCCATGTTCAGTTTATACAATTTTGACTGGTCATTACAGGCCGAAATCTAATTAGTAGTCATTGAAGACCACGTTTAGCTGTCACAATCAGCCATAAACAGACCTTACATGACTGTCTTGTCACATGCACTTCGGAAACCAGTGTGACGTACATTGTTGTTTTGTCACATCTGGGGTAGGTATCCATGGACGGCAGCATATTGCTGACTTGTCACACTTAGGTATCAATAGATCTTGTATAGCTGACTTGTCAAATTTAGGCATCCATAGAACATACATAGATTTCTTGTCACAATCTAGGCATCAATAGGCCGTACATAGCTGTCTTGTCACAATCTAGGCATCAAGAGGCCGTACAGAGCTGTCTTGTCAAATTTAGGCATCAATAGACTGTACATAGCTCTCTTGTCAAATTTAGGCATCAATAGACCGTACATAGGTGTCTTGCCTAATGTTCTTTCGGTCCTCATTCATGCTAAACACAAAGCTGTATGGGTAGGGTGTGTTTGGTTTGGACAGGTCATCGAGCTGCTGCATCTGTAGATATAGATGAAATACAAGTAACTCACCATTACAACAATGAAATGTAGACATAAAACCTGACCATGGACTTCATATGTGAAACATACGCCTACATTTATCAACCATTTATTTGCACATATAAAGATGAACAATGTGCACCCAACAAGCCAATGTAGGCTTACGGCAGCAAGATACATTGACAGTGGACGGCCAACAAGCCAATGTAGGCTTACGGCAGCAAGATACATTGACAGTGGACGGCCAACAAGCCAATGTAGGCTTACGGCAGCAAGATACATTGACAGTGGACGGCAACCTTCTTTTGAGAGACAATTTGTTTATAAATTAAGTCTGCTAGTATTCGGAACTCTAGACAGATCACGAGAAAGACAAAACTTTGCATCACAGATTTAAATGCTAAGCCTGTTCTGCTGTGTGGCTCAGAAATAAGGTAGAGATCAACCAAGAAAAAGATTTGGAAAGACTGCAAACCTTCATGAATAGAAGCCAGGGTAAAATCCCCCAACATCCTAAACACAGAAGTGGGTCAAACGGAAGCCCCGACTCCCAGTGGGGCCAGAAATCCGGAAAAGATGGCAGAGATGGAGAGGTCAATTAAGCCATGAGACAACCCATGACATCTGTATCACGACAAGCACTGGAATGGAACCATCAAGAATAATGCAGAAGCGAAAGACCACCCCCCCCCCCAGCCCAAAACCTCTACCAACTATACCTCTACCAACTATACCTCTACCAACTATACCTCTACCAACTATACCTCTACCAGCTATACCTCTACCAACTATACCTCTACCAACAACAACAAAAACAAAACAACAACATCAGATGTCGACAAAGATGAAACAAATATGTGAAAAAGATGTGTCAAGATTGTGACAAAGATGTGATAAAGGTGTGACAAAGATGTGACAGTGTTGTGCCAAAGATGGGACAACGATGTTACAAAGATGTGCTAAAGATGTGACTAAGACTGGAAAGAGTTGGAGAAGATAGCTAGGGGGCCTCAAGACTGAGAAGAAACTGTTCAAGGCATATGGCTCAACTGTGAGATGAAAACGCAAAGAGACATTTCGGGTATGTCATATAAATGAGAAAAAGGCAAGAGTCGCAGCAGAGAGCAGAATCGGACAGCTGTTCCCTCAAAGAGCCTAATAAGACTCAGGAGCCACGGGTTGTTGACCACTGCCTAACACAATTTTTCTTCTTGTTATGACGATAATTAATTAAGCTAAACAAACCTTTTACCGAGTTTCCACTTAGGATTCTTGTATGGTCGTCACATGGTCCCCTATTTGTTCCCGATATTCCATTGTCTGTCTCCAAAATGTTTCCAATATTCTCTATTTTAATTTGTCCTTGTATGATACTGATATATATTCCTCATATTTTTCCACTTCCTGCTCCTCATATGTTCCTCGTGTGCAGAGGTGTAGCGTGGGTGTTTGGCACCCGGGGACAAGATTCGCGCCCGGGGACAAGATCCATTTTAAAGCGCCCCCATTTCCTTTTTTCAACTCTCAAACCCATTATTTTTACCGATAATATAATATCAAAGCACATTTTGGTGCCCCTAACTGGCTTGCGCTCGGGGACATCTGTCCCCCCTGCCCCGCTACCTCGCTACGCCTCTGCTCATGTGCTTACTTACCTCCTGTTTTGTTAGAGACCACCCGTTGCCTGCTCCCAAGTTATCCTCCAGCTGGGGCAGGGTTCTCGCCCCTAGAATGACGGACGAGACAACGTCCCTCTGTAGCAGCCAACGAATGGCGACCTGCGGGACACTGCGGTCTGTAGACGGTAACAAATATTAACAGGTCAAGCTTGTTTTATTTTCCATTAGTAAAACAGCATATTCTTTAACAAAACTAAGGAATATTTTATTGGATTGATACATCACATGCTTTGGTGACATATAATATATGACGGACTGCGCGTTCAAGTTGTGTAAAGGATAAAGTAGAGCAAGGTACGTGGAGGCTTGAATTGAAAGAATTTGTTTTCCTGTCTTTCTATTGAACCTTCCATATACCTTGTTCCCTTTTTTTTGATGACGTAATCGTGTGTTGAAATAAATTAGCGTAGTGATGCTACTTAATTAATAGGAAAGTATTTGATGTCACAATAAAAATTGGACAGCAGCAGGAAGGACAATAAATTCGTTTGGTTTTTTAAAATTATTATTAAAAAAAATTTTTTATATTATAAGTTTGAATTGTCTGATTTCTATGTTGACCACCAACTCATATTATATGCTTAACTTGGTCTAAACAATAGACTATTTTGGCTTGAACCATCTATATGTTATGTACATTTATTTCTATCGCTATCAGTGCATGAGCCGTGTTTGTTCAATCGCTAGTTATAAGTGTGGTCAAAAGTGTAGAGCCACGTGAATAGGGTCTGTCATTTCTTAGCCCAGAAAACGTCACATCGCATTGCGTAATGTTACTTTTTTTAGACAAAATTTTTTCGTAAAACATATCAGTAAAAAATGTGTAAAATCTTTCGTAAAATAAAGTTGTAAAAAACATTTTAGTCTAGGTTAAAGCTCACATGAACGCAGAAATACCGAACAGCTGTTGAGAGATTGGCCAAACGGAATACCAGGATGTTTCATTTATATCTTAATAAGATTGGCCATACTAAACGCCAAATGACAAACCCTATCTATCTCATAATTTAATCTGAAAATCTAATATTTTTCTTCTCTCACCGTGCTTCTTGGCAATGGCTTCCAACGCCTCGATGACGTCAAAGGTTTTGTCGTCTAAGGTGGTCCACGCCGGTGCAATCTGGCTGGATTTCTTCTCGTCTCCGGCCACCCAGGCCAGGCGACCCTCTGTTGGTTTGGCGCCACGTTTAACTTTTCCAGTGAGCAGACCCCTGTTGGTGTTAAATTTAGCCATATGTCTGTAATCGTTCCCATGGGACACTTATTAAGGTTTCTCATTTCGTGGGTTTTGCTAATCGTTCCCATGGGACACTTATTAAGGTTTCTCATTTCCAGGGTTTTGCTAATCTCGGAAAAACGGGATAAAGGTAACTCTCATCCCGGGATCTCGGGATAAAATTAATTCAATAAAAAAATATAATTTAAACTGAATTAAACTATTCAAAATAGTGTTGTTTTTTTAATTAAAAAATTATTTCTTGTTATTTTCTATGAATGAATGAATGAAGGGAAAAACAAACGATGTCAGCGTACCCTGAAAGGTTGGTCTATTGCTACAAGTTGCGCCATTTTCTTCTAATTAACCCACGTAAAAGATAACGAGCTAATCATATTCTTGTTAAGTCAATTCAAATATTACCGCCTGTAGAAAACACCTTACATGAGTTTTGCATTCTTAGTAAGGTTGGTCATTTCTAAAAACGGAAAACGTAATGTTACTATTTTTAGACAAATTTTTCGTAAACCAGTTTCTAGCAATGTATTTCCGAATATATCTATATACATATATATATATATATATATATATATATATATATATATATATATATATATATATANATATTTGACAGATGAGTTTTCCGACCTCTGATGTAGGTCTATAACGCGGTAAGACTTTTGTATCCATGGAGAGAAACTATAGGGTTATATGTGATCTCATGGGTCAGTGCTATGCCTTATGGGGTCAGTATTGGGTTATATATCAGAATTCAGTCACATGTTAGTATTCGGTCACACTGAACAGCATTTGGTCACACTGGAGTGCATTCGATCACTGGATCTCCCTTTACATGGACAAGGACAAGGGCTTTCAGATGACCCACCCCCTTCGAATGGATTCATCAAGTCATGATCTCACCTATTCAATGGACTCTCCCTTTCAATGGACTCCCCCACACCCAAATGGAATCACCTCTACAAATGACTCACCATTCCATTGAATTCGCGCCCACACTTTTTTTCTTCTTCCCCTTAGGGATTCAACTTTTCGATGAACTCATCCTTTCAATAGACCCACCCTTTCAATGGACTCACCTTTTCAGTGGACTCCCCCTTTCAATGGACTCACCCTTTCAATGGACTCCACGGCAAGACTCCGATCCCAGCTGATTTACAAACTTGAAAAGCCTCCAACTCAGAATCTCTGCTGGCCAAGCTGTATTGTTGCTGGAGAAGTAAAACGTTCCCTGGTGTCAACACTGAGTGACGTGTTGGTTAACGGTCTAACATCGTGCTACTAAGAATGATCAGTTAGGAACTAAGTAAAATAGTTATAGGTGTTATAGAGAGAAAAACAAACAGAGAGAGAGAGAGAGAGAGAGGGAATAGAGAGAGAGAGAAAGAGAGACAGAGAGGGGAGAGAGAGAGGGGGGAGGGAGGGAGAGAGAGAGGGGGAGAGGTAGAGAGAGAGAGAGAGATTCTAATATGGAATAAAATGGGAAGTTTGAGCTAGAATAAAAGAGATAAAGTGTAAGAAAGCGTTAGAGTCAGAGAGGTGAAGAGGGTGTCTCAAACGTGAATGGGATTAAGATTTTAAATGAGGCTATATGAGGCATAAAGCGCAATGAAGAGACACGAGACTCAAGTCAGACCTGCAGACTTAACATATGGGCCGTAACGTCATTTCAGGTGTGTTGAGATTTTTTAAAAATTACTTGAGGCGCCACGGTACATAGCAATTTTTATAAAACCTAAACATTCAAATGGGGGGGGGGGATGTCCCCCTCTACCCTACCAAAGGGCGTCCCTGCACATAGGCCTGCTTAGAGACCTAACTCGTACCTGAAGACTGAACACATGGGCCTATTAACACAGCCAACTCATATGCACAGACCTAACTCACATGTCCTACGTTCGGGCCTAAATCCTATAAAAAGACCTAACTCACACCTTCATATAAATTTCATCACACCTGTAGACCTACCCAATACCTTCATATCTAACTCATACCTTCATATCTAATTCATACCTTCATATCTAATTCATACATGTAGACCTATCACCCCATACCTTCATATTTAAATAATACTAGCAGACCTCACCCATTCCTTCATATCTAAATCATACCAGCAGACCTCACCTCTACCATTCTTATATAATTCATACCTGCAGACCTCACCCATACCTTCATATCTAATTCATACCAGCAGACCTCACCCATACCTTCATATCTAATTCATACCTGCAGACCTCACCCATACCTTCATATCTAATTCATACCTGCAGACCTCACCCATACCTTCATATCTAATTCATACCTGCAGACCTCACCCATACCTTCATATCTAATTCATACCTGCAGACCTCACCCATATCTTCATATCTAATTCATACCTGCAGACCTCACCCATACCTTCATATCTAATTCCTACCTGCAGACTGACGATTGGGTTGATGCCGAGTCTTTCTGTCGCATCCACCAGCTTCTGTAGCTGCCAGCCGGTCACGTTACTGACACCCACGTAACGGACTTTCCCGGAGCGCACCAAATCGTCCAGCGTGCGCAGCGTTTCTTCAATCGGGGTGGCGTCGTCAAAGCAGTGTGTCTGTGGAGCAGATGATTTCCAACATGAAAGTAGATGTAACTACGGTATTTTAACATTTGTCAAGGCGAGGAACGTGAACCCTTTTCAAATCAGCAAAACTTAAAACAACCTCTAAAACCAAAGTGTTTTGGTGTCAATCCTGTATCAAATGTAATATCGAGCAATGGGCGTCGGGCGGGGGGCTCAAAAGGGGACAAAACATGCATATAAGTAATGCAATTTATAAGAATCCCAATTCGTGCTCCCCTCACCCCAAGGTTCGCAGCTGCACATTCTTTTCACACCCCTGTACCATTTTATTATTCTAATGACCCACCCGCTTTTACAACGCAGATTTATTTCACCATCTCCGAAAAAAAAGAAATATTACGCACCTAACACACTTGCGATATTTGTTTTCAATGAATTTCATTTAGCGCAGTTAGTTGTGGGTTTGGGGGGGGGGGGGGCTAAGCTGAAAATTTGACAGAAAGTATGGTCATTAGCAACGGGTCTATGTGCCAAGTTTCAGCTCGATAGATTGACGGATAGTGGGTCATTTAGCCGTCTGAAGATTTCGCCAGTCCTCCAACCAGCCACCCAGCCGTGAACAAAGGCGAAGTTAACATAAAGGATATAATAATCCACGACACAAGCATATAAAGGTAGTCTGGCACATAAGCAAGGTAGTCTGGCACATAAGCAAGGTAGTCTGGCACATAAGCAAGGTAGTCTGGCACATAAGCAAGGTAGTCTGGCACATAAGCAAGGTAGTCTGGCAACAAAGCAGACATTTCAAATCATCTTTTTAATGCGGCTGCAACGTAAATCCGGATATGACAGAATCCAGGGCTTTTTAAAAAAAAAATATCGTCAAGATAGCAACCGTGAGGTGATGAGTACTGACTGTGTGTGGTAGACATTGAACCTTTCCCTCACCGATCCTAAATAGAACTATCACAATATTTTCTCTTGCTATCTTGAAACTGTCTTCACGACCTTACCATCAACTTGAGCCTACCTGGTAAATAGACTACATTCCCTCTCACCTAAATGAATCTATCTGGCATGGACACAACACCCCCCCCCCTTTTTTCTCCCCAACCCAATCAACGTGTACCTACTTGGTAAAGATCAACATAATTTGTGTGTAGCCGGTTTAAGCTCTTGTCTATGCCTTCCGTGATGTGTCGTCTGCTGAGGCCGATGTTGTTGACATTTTCCTCCACGCCCATGTTGAACCGCACTTTGGTAGCGAGGACGAAATTTTCCCTCTCCTGTCTGGGGAAGCAGACGTTTGTCCCTGGTTTATTTTCATAACTGACAAAACATCATTTAATTTTGTTTTCAATAACTGGGTACAATGAATTCTAAGAAACCTGTGAATTCTGGTCTTTATTGACAATAGTTTACAGCTAGGCAAACAAATAAATAAAACAACTCAAAGGATCCTATAACTTGTAAGACAAACATGAGCTGGTAGATCTTTCAGAAGGTACAAATGCCCCACATTGGGACAAACATGAGCTGGTAGATCTTTCAGAAGGTACAAATGCCCACATTGGGACAAACATGAGCTGGTAGATCTTTCAGGTGGTACAAACGCCCCACATTGGGACGCAATTAAATCTGACATAATTTTAAGGCAAACGAAATCAAAGATTCCACATGATCATCAAGTTCCTTTTTTTTTCTAAACTGTGACATAAATAAACCAGCTAAGCATTAACCGGGACCCGAACGGTCAGCATTGCACGCTAGTCCAAGAAACTTTACAGCATCCGCGTGCCCAAAGATTGACCTTGGAGAGTCTAGAGTGGCAAAGGGGGGGGGGGTACAGATTTGTTGTATGGCATAGCCGAACAGACGGTGCTTGCCACCAAAGTTTTGGCCGGTGGCTTAAAGGGCGATGTCTTATCGCGGCCCTGACTCATCAGTAGAAAGATGATTTAGCTCGGCCCTCACTCGTCTAAGATGCTTTAGCTCGGTCCTCACCCACTTAAAGTGTGATGATTTAGTTCGGCCCCCACCCAGCTAAAGAGTGATGATTTAGCTCGGCCCTCACCCACCAAAAGAGTGATGATTTAGCTCGGCCCTTCACATCTAAAGAGTGGTGATTTAGCTCGGCCCCCACCCACCTAAAGAGTGATGATTTAGCTCGGCCCCCACCCAGCTAAAGAGTGATGATTTAGCTCGACCCTCACCCACCTAAAGTGTACTGATTTAGCTAGCCCCTCCCCCACCTAAAGAGGGATGATTTACCTCGTCCCTTCACACCTAAAGATGGATGATTTAACTAAAGAGTGGTGATTTAGCTCGGCCCCCACCCACCTAAAGAGTGATGATTTAGCTCGGCCCCCACCCAGCTAAAGAGTGATGATTTAGCTCGGCCCTCACCCACCTAAAGAGTGATGATTTAGCTCGGCCCTCACCCACCTAAAGAGTGATGATTTAGCTCGGCCCTTCACATCTAAAGAGTGATGCTTTATTTTGGCCCTCACTCATCTAAAGAAAGATAATTTAGCCCGGCCCTCACTCATCTAAAGAAAGATAATTTAGCCCGGCCCTCTCCCACCTAAAGAGTGATGATTTAGCTCAGCCCCCACCCACCTAAAGAGTGATGATTTAGCTCGGCCCCCACCCAGCTAAAGAGGGATGATTTAGCTCGGCCCTTCACATCTAAAGAGTGATGATTTAGTTCGGCCTTCACCCACCTAAAGAGTGATGATTTAGCTCAGCCCCCACCCACCTAAAGAGTGATGATTTAGCTCGGCCCTCACCCACCTAAAGAGTGATTATTTAGCTCGACCCTTCACATCTAAAGAGTGATGCTTTATTTTGGCCCTCACTCATCTAAAGAAAGATAATTTAGTTCGGCCCTCACTCATCTAAAGAAAGATAATTTAGCCCGGCCCTCACCCACCTAAAGAGTGATGATTTAGCTCAGCCCCCACCCACCTAAAGAGTGATGATTTAGCTCGGCCCTCACCCACCTAAAGAGTGATGATTTAGCTCGGCCCTTCACATCTAAAGAGTGATGCTTTAGTTCGGCCCTCACTCATCTAAAGAAAGATAATTTAGCCCGGCCCTCACCCACCTAAAGAGTGATGATTTAGCTCAGCCCCCACCCACCTAAAGAGTGATGATTTAGCTCGGCCCTCACCCACCTAAAGAGTGATGATTTAGCTCGGCCCTCACCCACCTAAAGAGTGATGATTTAGCTCAGCCCCCACCCACCTAAAGAGTGATGATTTAGCTCGGCCCTCACCCACCTAAAGAGTGATGATTTAGCTCGGCCCTCACCCACCTAAAGAGTGATGATTTAGCTCGGCCCTCACCCACCTAAAGATTGATGATTTAGCTCGACCCTTCCCATCTAAAGAGTGATGATTTAGTTCGGCCCTCACTCATCTAAAGAAAGATAATTTAGCCCGGCCCTCACTCATCTAAAGAAAGATAATTTAGCCCGCCCTCACCCACCTAAAGAGTGATGATTTAGCTCAGCCCCCACCCACCTAAAGAGTGATGATTTAGCTCAGCCCCCACCCACCTAAAGAGTGATGATTTAGCTCAGCCCCCACCCACCTAAAGAGTGATTATTTAGCTCGGCCCTCACCCACCTAAAGAGTGATGATTTAGCTCGGCCCTCACCCACCTAAAGAGTGATGATTTAGCTCGGCCCTTCACATCTAAAGAGTGATGATTTAATTCGGCCCTCACTAATCTAAAGAAAGATAATTTAGCCCGGCCCTCACTCATCTAAAGAGTGATGCTTTATTTTGGCCCTCACACATCCAAAGAGCTATGATTTGGAGCAGCATGAACCTTCACTTGTAACTCACCTTTCCAGCCATGAACCTTCACTTGTAACTCACCTTTCCAGCCATGAACCTTCACTTGTAACTCACCTTTCCAGCCATGAACCTTCACTTGTAACTCACCTTTCCAGCCATGAACCTTCACTTGTAACTCACCTTTCCAGCCATGAACCTTCACTTGTAACTCACCTTTCCAGCCATGAACCTTCACTTGTAACTCACCTTTCCAGCCATTTCCCGATGATCTTCTCCGAGTTTCCCCGGCCGTACATGTCGGCCGTGTCGATGAAGTTTCCTCCCCACTCCACGAAACGGTTGATGATCTGATGGGCCGTGTTTTCGTCACACTGACCTGGTAATCCGTACTGGATGGAGTAGAACAGATTGTTTATCAACATATGCTCTGCGAAACTATAGACCATCGGTTCTCAACCTGCGGGTCACGACCCTTACACAGGGGCCGTCTAGGACCGTCGGAAAACGCATGTTTATGAAGTTGCAGTTTTATGGTTGGGGGTCACCACACCATGAGGAACTTGATTGAAGGGTCGTGGCATTTAGAAATAATCTATGAACCTGGATATTTTATCATCACTTATTTTTAGCGTTGAATAAAATGTGAATTTTTGCCCATCATGTGTGGACAATTATAATTGGTTGGGATTTTTTTTTTTTTAACATTAAATTATTTCCTCTGACTTTTTTTCAATTTAATAGTATGCATGTCTATCTAAATAAGCTATTTAAAACTTATTAAAACAATTGAAATTTGTACTTGTTTATTTTTTAGTATAGATCTTTGAACGATACCCACATGTGGGTCACCATGACATAACAACACAGACAACAGTTTTTGCCTTTTGATTAAAAGATAAACGTGTTTCTGTTGCATTTTTATTGTTATTTTGTTCAATTTTTACTTCATTCGGCTTCATTCATTACAAAAATCTGCCTTAATCTAACTAAGCCATTTTTTTAAAAATGATAAATAATGCTAAATAATGCAACTTACGAAATTTTCCCCAAATGTCATGGTCCCCAGGCCCATGTTGGACACTTTCAACCCTGACTTGCCCAGGAACACATAAGGGAGCTTATTCTCTTTAGCGACTGGAGCAGACATGTCTGTAGCTGAAGTTGTGGGACTTGTTCCTATTCTGGTTGGAAAAAACTAATTTAAAATAACAATTCCGTGAATGGAAAAAAAAAACAACATCAAAAACAAAGTTTTTTGTATAAATGCATCCTTCAATCTCGTCTTCAAAAATTACATTTTATTTCACTGCAATGGTTTTTGTTGAGTTGGTAAGGCCTTAAAAAGCTTTTAATCGGGTTTCAACGTCATTACCTTTCTTGGATCTTCGGCACCCACAAGTATTTTGAAAAACAGGAAAAAACTCTTTTGGTGTTTGGGGTCGGGCTAAACATTTGAAAGAATGTGTTGTCATCCGCAACGAGCCTATGGGCCAAATTTCAGCTTGATAGGATGACCGGAAATCGGTAAATTGATGGATCTTGACTAAAAATGGCTCACATACCCAGGACATGGATTGATGGATCTTGACCAAACATGGAACACATACCCAGGACATGGATTGATGGATCTTGACTAAACATGGATCACATACCCAGGACATGGATTGAGGGATCGTGACTAAACATGGCTCACATAGTCAGGGCATGGATTGATGGATCTTGACTAAAAATGGCCCACATACCCAGGATATGGATTGATGGATCTTGACTAAACATGGCTCACATACCCAGGACATGGATTGATGGATCTTGACTAAAATGGCTCACATACCCAGGAGATGGATCTTGACTAAACATGGCTCACATACCCAGGACATGGATTGATGGATCTTGACCAAACATGGCACACATACCCAGGAGATGGCTTTATGGATCTTGACTAAACATGGCTCACATACCTAGGACATGGATTGATGGATCTTGACTAAACATGGCTCACATACCTAGCACATGGATTGATGGATCTTGACCAAACCTGGCACACATACCCAGGACATGGATTGATGGATCGTGACCAAACATGGCTCACATACCCAGGACATGGATTGATGGATCTTGATTAATCATGACTCACATACCCAGGACCGTGCAGAGGCTGGGGCAACCGAATAAATCACTCGGGGTCCTGACCAAAGGGGGGCCCCTAAGGATCATGTTCCGGAAAGAATTTACTTTTGAATTTGATACACTTATTTTTACATTTGCAGGTGCCTCAATATGGATTTGCCCGGGGCCAAAAAATCATGTGCATGGCCCTGCACATTACCTTGATTACCCCGGATGAAGTATTGGAGGGGTTTTAACTTTTAAAATATACCTTTTGGGGCGGGGGTTGGCCTGTGACTGGGGGGGGGGGGGTGTTAATTAAATTTACCCCCTTGTATAGTCTGTATTTTTTTAACCTCTTTGGGCGGGGGTTGGCCTGTGACTGGGGGGGGGGGTTGCTAATTCAATTTACCCCCTTGTATAAGCTGTATTTATTTCGTTTAATGAAACAGAGTACTGCATGGATGGCTGTACCTAGAAAAATATGTGCACATAAACACAGACCACAGCATGGGTGGCTGTATCTAGACCAATATTTGTACCCATACACAGAGTATTAAATGGATGGTTGTATCTAGATCAATGTTTGTACACATACACAGTCTCTGTATGGATGGCTCACATACCCAGACAAATATGTATACATACACACAGACCACAGCATGGATGGCTGCATCTAGATCAATGTTTGTACACAAACCCCAAACTACTGCAAGAATCGCTGTACCAAGACAAATATGTGTACATACACACAGACCACGGCATGAATGACTTTATTTAGAGCAATTTTTGCATACATACATAGACTGCTGCATGGATGGTCGTACCTAGACCAATATTTGTACACAAACCCAGGCTACTGCACGGATGGCTGTATCTAGATCAATATTTGTAAACATACCCTCGATTCTCCAGATTCAAATGTTGGTGGGTTCTGAGGTGGTTTGCTATTTTTCTGTCCACTTGTACCGGGGAGGCGTCGCAGTGGGGTACAGTTGATGATCTGCGGTACAGTTTGCGATACATCAGATATTGTTTTTCCTCTCTTTTTTTGTTTTTTGTTTTTTGTTTCTTATGGTTCAGTAGATTTTTATAACGTTCAATATTTTTCCTTGAATAACCTAAATTGAGATGAATGAAGTTTCTAGAAAGTTCTGAAACGTTTCATTGAGATCTATGCGATTATTTTTTATTTATTTTTTTTTTTTAATTCTTCATTTTTAACACAATTATCATTTGGTGGTTTTATTAGTAATTCTAAGAATCCAATGGTTTATTAAGATTGTTTAAGCTTCTGAAAATTTTAAGATACACCTATGGGAATATAAAAAATATAATTTAATTAAAAGGACGAAACTTAACATGCATGTTTTTCATTGCTCGGGATAAACTTCTGGGATGTTTGATCTTTGAAAAAATATCCTTCTCGGAGTCTGGCTGGTACCAAATTTTAATTTCTTCTTATTTATCTATACACAAAAATGTAGACCCCGATATCAATGGACTAAAGCCAAATTTGAAAGGTGTAAGCCAGTTTTTGATTATCCAGATTAAAAGATGGGTGGGTTTTAAAGTTAAGATCTTAACTCCTTTTGGGGGACGGTGCCCCGTTCTTTAAAAAAAAAGTTTGATATTTGGTAGCTTAGGGATTTTTCAGTCGAGTTTAATGCGGCAACCTTTCGACGTTGTTTTTTTTTTTTTTTTTTTTTCATCATTTTCAAAACTTTACAAACCGACTGGCTCCAGTGCAAAAAAAAAATAAAAAATAAAATAATAAAAATTAAAAATAATTTTTTTTTATTTTTTTTTTTTTTTTTTCATCATAGTCAAAACTTTACAAACCGACTGGCTCCAGTGCAAAAATAAAATAAAAACTAAAGTAATAAAAATTAAATAAAATTTTTTTTTAAATAACTAACTAACAAACAGTGGAAAAAACAACACATAAACATATAATATAACTATAATTAACTATTTAAAAAAATAAAAATGGAAAGATAAATAAGATTTTAAAAATGTCTTTTGTGGCTTTAGGCGAGAATTATCATTATTAAAATTTCTTTATTTGTGGCATGTTACAAACAATTTTAATGAGATAATTAAAAAAAAAAAAAAAAAAAAAAAAAAAATGGAAAAAAAAAAAAAAAAAAAAAAACTGGAATTTGTATCTAAACGGTTTTGATGGGGCCGCCTATTCCAATAAGAGCTAAAATGTAACCCCTCTGACTGGGCTTTCTTATCGGGAAAGACCCCCCCCCCCCCCCCATACCTCAATTCTAGCTAACAGCAACAACGCTATAGCTTAGACTTTGTAAACAATATTTGATGGGGGTCTATTTTCTAAGGATGATGGTTTCTTTAACTGAAAGCTAAACGGGTCAGGACAAAATTTCAATGTTAACAAGGATGATTATAAATCATGATTTTTTTTGTTTAGACTCTTTTTATTTAGATTGATTTTTTACCAAACAGTTTATCACGTGGCCCTGAATTTCAAGGTTAAATAATAAAGCTAAAGAAGCGAGTACAAAAGTAAATCCAGGCGGCGCCGGGTAAGTTAGCCAGTAATTTATTTATGTTTTAATCCGCATTCTTTTTAAAGATAGCAGCTAAGGAATTATTATGAGTTTAATGAGATGAAATATAAAACATTCACTTTTCTTAAAGTCAGGCTTTATTTTGAACAGGTAACAAATCTCATAATCTCCTTGTTATGCATTCGAGGATTTATACATTTACAGGAAGTACAGTGAAACCTGTAAACCGTGCTAACCCTTATGGGATCAAACCAAACGTGCTGCTACCTACAGGGATTGTGCTATTCGCTGGTTCAGCCAGAAGGATGATCATGCACAAAGGCGTAGCAAAGTGGGGGCAGGGGGGGCAGATGTCCCCGGGCGCAAGCTAGTTAGGGGCGCCAAAATGTGTTTTGATATTATATTATTGGTAAAAATAATGGGTTTGAGAGTTGAGAAAAAGAAAAGGGGGCGCTTTAAAATGGATCTTGTCCCCGGGCGCGAATCTTGTCCCCGGGCGCCAAACACCCTCGCTACGCCTCTGATCATGCACAATCACTGGAAAGAAGAAGACATATGTACTTAGGCAAATTGAAAACAAGAAGACATTTAGAGAGCTCATACATTAATACTTGTATGCATAATTACAACATAAACATTAAGAAAACGAGCGATATTATTAGCATCAACTTGTACACGCGGCCCACAGGGTTTGATGAATCTCCTATGACCAATACAGGCCACTAGAGGCATATGTGCATTGCCACCATTTCGATCGTCTTGCTTTCACTGGGCGCTGGCGTAGTTCACTGCACGACACCCCGCGCGCGGTTCAGTCACAGCCAACAGTCTCGTGGCAAATCTTCTGACAGAACGCTTACAGCGCGCTGAGTTTAGACAACACAGCGCGTATGAAGACTGGTTGGTAGTGCTAAAAGGTCTACGTGACAACCTGTCGATGACGTAATTCGAAGCCAGTGCGACATGACGTGTTCTATTTGCAGGGAAAACATTATTTGTCCCACAGAAAACCTTGCGCCTTTCCCCTTCAAAATGGGTTTGCACTATTTCAACGTTTTGTGTGTATGTGTGTGTGTGTGTATGTTTCAAGAATCGATCCATTCCAGCGTGGTTATTCCATTTAACAGGAACTGCGTTATTTCAAGACTCGCTATTCACATGGCTCCATGAAGCTATTTTTAAGTGATTTAATTTAAATAATGTAAGTGATATTTTTTTAATTGAATGGTTCCAATTGCTGGCGAATCAGTAAATGAGTAAAGCAAAGTATGGTCAAAGCTGAAAAAAAAAAGGAACGCAACAAAGCAACTAAAGTGTCGGCAGGAAGCCTTCGTCAGCGAACAGAAAAAAAACAATTTTTTTTTTTTTTTTTAAAGCACATAGCCGAGAAGAAGTATCCAAGAGGGCAGCAAAAAAATTGTGCGTCTGTTTTGACGATTTTTTTTGAAATTTAAAATTTTTAAAATTGTTTTTTTTTTAAAAAAAGCTGAAAAAAAAAAGGAACACAACAAAGCAACTAAAGTGTCGGCAGGAAGCCTTCGGCAGCGAACAGAAAAAAAACAATTTTTTTTTTTTTTTTTAAAGCACATAGCCGAGAAGTAGTATCCAAGAGGGCAGCAAAAGAATTGTGCGGCTGTACTGACGAATCATTTCGAAAGTTAACATTTTTAAAATTGATTTTTTTTTAAAATCCTTCCATTTTCTGGACAAGTTATTGCCAGTGTTGCTCTCGTTCGAAATTTGTTTGATCCATTATATATTTTGGAATACGGGTCTGGTGAAGGCGACAGTCATGACCTCCCCACCGCCGCTCACCCCATCTTTAGTTTGAACGATGATCCACGTTTTTTTAAATCATTAAAAAAAAATTATGAGTGACACGCCTCTGCACAATATTTGGAAACCCTTATTTTGCATTGTAAATAACAAAAAAGCCCCCCCCCCCTCAGCTAAATCTACTAAATAATATATAGAATAAGACCTGGAACTAACGCAAAACTCTTGGGACCGAAAGTAACTAATTTGCCAGGGACAGCGCAAGGTTATTTATATCCAGGTTTCACTCTCTTAAACATTTTGAGCGTTGAACTAATAATGCACTATAAACTTATTACCTTACCTGTTGGTGGAGCTAAACTATTCAACTTTATTCCCCGGACCACCAGCACGGGTATTGATGGATCAGAGTGAGGCACGCTGATCTCATGTTATATAGACACCGGGGGAGGGACGAGTGACGCAGCACTTTCTTTCTGATCAGAGAATGTTTAATGTGTGTGTCTGTGGTTTGTGGGTAGAGGGTAGAGTGTAGGGGGTAGAGGGTAGGTGTGTGTTACTCGATAGCCGAAGGGTATTTCAAAAGGTGCGATGAGGTAATAATATTTACCAACGTATATTAACAGTGTGTGTGGGAAGGGGGAGGGGGTTTGTAATTTATTATATTAAAATAAAGAAAAAAAAATGACAGGGCTATTTTAACACGGCTAGAGGATTTGAGTTCGGTCTTAACCTTAGTAGTACCATGGTCCCACAGATAACGTCAGGTGATGGTGCCACATGTGGCATTGTATCACGGTGCCCCATGTGTCACCTGTCACCGTGCCAGTGGAGACTCATGGGTCATTAGTGACATGGTGCCGCATGTGGCATTGTGTCACGATGCCCCATGTGTCACCTGTCACCGTGGCAGGGGAGACTCATGTGTCACCGTCCCATAGTGCCGGCTGTGTCATGTTACCGTAAGGCAGTATGTGCTACTGGGGCCGCTGTACAATGTGTGTCATTGTACCGTGTGTGCCATTGTACCATATGTGTCATTGTACCGTGTATGTCATTGTACCATGTGCGTCATTGTACAGTGTGTGTTATTGTACCATTTGCATAATTGTACCATGTGTGTCATTGTACCATGTGAGTCATTGTACCATGTGTGTCATGTACCATGTGTGTCAATGTACCCTGTGCGTCATTGTACCATGTGTGTCATTGTACCATGTGTGTCAATGTACCATGTGTGTCAATGTACCATGTGTGTCATTGCACCATGTGTGTCATTGTACTGTGTGTGTCAATCCATCAGTGTGCCGCAAGTGGCTGCAATTGTTTGTTTATGCTTATTTCTAGAGAAGGAATTCAAACTAATTGGTTTGGATTTTTAAAAAAATTCTTTTCCGCACTCCATTTTAAACGTATCATAAGAGAGACTGGGTGGGGAGATATTAGGGAGAGACTGGGTGGGGAGATATTAGGGAGAGACTGGTTGGGGAGATATTAGGGAGAGACTGGGTGGGGAGATATTAGGGAGAGACTGGTTGGGGAGATATTAGGGAGAGACTGGGTGGGGAGATATTAGGGAGAGACTGGGTGGGGAGATATTAGGGAGAGACTGGTTGGGGAGATATTTGGGAGAGAATGGGTGAGGAGATGTTTTGGAGAGACTGGGTGGGGAGATATTAGGAAGAAACAGAGAAAGGGCGAGTCTCTGTGTGTGTTCGTGTGTGTGTTTGTAATGTAATAATTTGTATGTGTGTGTATGGTCGTGCATGCGTGCGTGTTGAAGAATATTTTGTTCATCTCATTTGAGAACCGCTGTATGTATATCATTTTCTAATACGAATATGACTCATAAAGCGTATAAATATCGATTTATACATATACATTTTAATCTATATTTGCATATTTTATGATGAGTCATATTCATATTCGAAAATGACGTGTCCAGTATTGAGCTCCGCAAGCTAATCGCCCGAGTCCCCCCCCCCGTCCCCCCCCGACGTTGGCTTGTTTATAGTTCTCCTCTAGAGGACCAGAGTACTCGAGAGAAATAATTACCATGGCCGGAAAGTTGATCAGAATGATATAGGGTCAAGGCCAACATCGTGATTTCTTATTTATTGGATCATATATGATCATAGCAATGTTCAATATACATTATTTATTGGGTCATATGGGATCATAGCAATGTTCTGGATAAACTACTTAGTTGGTCATATGTGATCATAGCAATGTTCTGGATAAACTACTTAGTTGGTCATATGGGATCATAGCAATGTTCTGGATAAACTACTTAGTTGGTCATATGTGATCATAGCAATGTTCTGGATAAACTACTTAGTTGGTCATATGGGATCATAGCAATGTTCTGGATAAACTACTTAGTTGGTCATATGTGATCATAGCAATGTTCTGGATAAACTACTTAGTTGGTCATATGGGATCATAGCAATGTTCTGGATAAGCTACGTAGTTGGTCATATGGGATCATAGCAATGTTCTGGATAAACTACTTAGTTGGTCATATGGGATCATAGCAATGTTCTGGATAAACTACTTAGTTGGTCATATGGGATCATAGCAATGTTCTGGATAAACTACTTAGTTGGTCATATGGGATCATAGCAATGTTCTGGATAAACTACTTAGTTGGTCATATGTGATCAGGGCAGTCATTCCGATAAACTTTTTAGTGTGTGATGTGTGATCAGAGCAATCGTCGCGATAAACTATTTATTGTGTCATTATGCTATCAGAGCAGTCATCACGTCATCTTCTATATATATCATTCGCCAGCAAAGGTCAAACACCAACACGCAGGCTATATATAGATACGCCAGAGTGTGGTTAAATAATAAGTTCACTAGCGCGCAAAATATAATTCCCGATAACTACGATAAATGATATATATTTTTTTTAATAACGCAATTGCGTTTGGTGCGTAATATTTTCTTTTCGGAAATGAAATCGTCTCAATTTAAGTATTGTGTAAAAAAATATTCGGTTTAAAAGTGGTTGGGACATGAGAATATTAATATAGTTCATGGGCGTGGAATAAAAATTGTTCAGTGACGTATCATGCGGGTAGGGGTGTAGCAAATGTTGGCATTACAGTTGCATCCTCAAACCCACCCCATTTGGACAACTGTGTCTTTCACGAAGTCTTCACTCATCCATGAGCAATTCTGCGACGCATGCTATACGACGCGGGTCGACTGGTATTATTTATCTGTTGCGCCATTCACCCCATGAAAAAACTTCACGGTTGATTTGTTTAAATTAATTTTTTACATTGCACTTCGGTTTGTGTATTTTGAGAGAATGCTAAAACTCGAGATTTCCGGTGCAAGTTTTGCTGTAAGTTCAGATGTGGTCATCAGGCTCAGCGGCATGCCTCGACTAAATGCCGCCCTGAGCAAATCCCCCCCCCCACACACACACACAAATCACCTCATTTTAGTTGGTTTTCATGATGCTTCTTTTTCTGGTGCGCATGAATCTCCTTTTCTGGTGTGCAAAGAACCTATTTTATGGTGTGCATGAAAACTCCTTTTCCGGTGTACATAAAACGTTATTTTTTTTCCGGTGTGCATTAAACCCCTTTTGCTGGTGTGCCTTAAACCCCTTTTGCTGGTGTGCCTTAAACCCCTTTTGCTGGTGTGCATGAAAAAAAATGCATAGTCTGCAATAAATCCCATTCAATGACACCATTGACGTAGAAAAAATTCCGGTATGAATAAAAATATAATCGAAATAACAAAATGATCTTGACCGTTTGAACGCCCTGCACACAATCGATTTTAAATCACCGCAGCGATTGAGATTGTACACGCACATAATGTGCGAAACTGACGGTATAAACAACCTAAGCATGTTGTTAGAGGATAACCACATGACGCGCCAATGTAAATTTTAACGGCTAGATAGTAACGAAACAAGAACAACAACATCCGAAGAGCTGTTTAAACAGAAAAAAAAAACACACCCGAAGAGTTGTTTAAACAACAATAAAAAAAAACCACCCGAAGAGTTGTTTAAACAACAACCAAAAAAAAACACCCGAAGAGTTGTTTAAACAACAATCCAAAAAACACCCGAAGAGTTGTTTAAACAACAATCCAAAAAACACCCGAAGAGTTGTTTAAACAACAACCCAAAAAACACCCGAAGAGTTGTTTAAACAACAACCAAAAAAAACACCCGAAGAGTTGTTTAAACAACAACCCAAAAAACACCCGAAGAGTTGTTTAAACAACAACCAAAAAAAACACCCGAAGAGTTGTTTAAACAACAACCCAAAAAACACCCGAAGAGTTGTTTAAACAACAATAAAAAAAAAACCACCCGAAGAGTTGTTTAAACAACAATAAAAAAAAACCACCCGAAGAGTTGTTTAAACAACAACCAAAAAAAACATCCGAAGAAATGTTTAAACGACAACCAAAAAAAACCATCCGAAGAGTTGTTTAAACAACAACCAAAAAAACCACCCGAAGAGTTGTTTAAACAACAACCAAAAAAACCATCCGAAGAGTTGTTTAAACAACAACCAAAATAACACCCGAAGAGTTGTTTAAACAACAACCAAAAAAACCACCAGAAGAGTTGTTTAAACAACAACCTAAAAAAAACATCCGAAGAGTTGTTTAAACAACTACCAAAAAAACCATCCGAAGAGTTGTTTAAACAACAACCAAAAAAACCATCCGAAGAGTTGTTTAAACAACAACCAAAAAAACACCAGAAGAGTTGTTTAAACAACAACCTAAAAAAAACCACCAGAAGAGTTGTTTAAACAACAACCAAAAAAACCATCCGAAGAGTTGTTTAAACAACAACCAAAAAAACACCCGAAGAGTTGTTTAAACAACAACAAAAAAAAACCACCAGAAGAGTTGTTTAAACAACAACCTAAAAAAACCATCCGAAGAGTTGTTTAAACAACAACCAAAAAAACCACCCAAAGAGTTGTTTAAACAACAACCAAAAAAACACCCGAAGAGTTGTTTAAACAACAACCAAAAAAACACCCGAAGAGTTGTTTAAACAACAACCAAAAAACCACCCGAAGAGTTGTTTAAACAACAACCTAAAAAAAAACACTCGAAGAGTTGTTTAAACAACAACCAAAAAAAACACCAGAAGAGTTGTTTAAACAACAAACAAAAAAACAGCCAAAGAGTTGTTTAAACAAAAACAACAGAATCCGAAGAGTTGGTTAATGAAGTTGTCCACGTCTTGACTGCTCAGGAATAAAGCATTATATGATTTGGTGTCAAAAGAAAAAAAAAAAACCAATAGACAGCGAATAAGATGGAGGGTGTATAACAGCACTCTCAATCTTGCACATATCGGAAATTTCATTGAATCACGTTTAAAAAAAATGCAAACATTTTTATGACGCCTAT